CAGCCTCTCTTTCAGTCTCTTCCTTCTCTCCCCCCCCCCCCGCCCCTTCTGCACTTGGGGGTAAAAGAGGAGATCAGAGATGGGAGCAGTCCTGCTCAGGATACTCTCTGCCACCTTCTCCTCTCCCTTCTCTCCCTTCAGCCCGGGCCTCTAGGAGGCTGTGAGCCTCCAAGGCCTGCAGCTGATGGACAAGCCTGAGACCAGGCCCCAAACTCCCTTCCCACCCCCGCTGCTCACACTCCCCCTGTCTTCAAACCCGGTGTCCTGCCAGGTGGAGCAACTTCCAGGCTCAGGTCCTGAGACAAGAACAAACGCCTGATGTTAATAATGGGTTTTCCAGCCAACCACTGCTCTGGGCCACCAGGATGTAATACTCATGAGGACCTCAAGATGGCGGTGTTGAACACACTCCTCAGGCTCATCTCCCTGAGCCTAAAGAGAGCAGTCTGGGAAAGGGGTGTGGGTCCTCACCCAGACATTCTTCTGCCTGGCCTGGATGCCAGGATTCCTCACACCCCACAAGTCCACAGCCCCCAGCCTGACCCCCGCTCTGCCCACTTCCCTTAGGCTCCATACCCTTCGCTCCATACCCAGCTGCCACAGCCCAGCCTATCAGTCAGCGGGGCGCCTGCTCCCTACTTTTCCACAGTCCCCATTAGTCCCTGTTTTCTCCCTGCCCTGAGACTCAGCAGCCTTTGTGTCTGACAGGCTGTTGATCCTCCCGGTTCTCCTGCCACCCAAAGGACAGGGGTGCATCTCTCTATCAAAGAGAGACGAGGTTCCTTCAGCTGACCTTCTCTCGTTGACGCTGAGAGCTAAGTCTGTGTGCCAGACCCGGGCCTCCCTGGCCCCGTGACTATCAGTTCTGTGCATCAGTGAGAAGATGGAAACTCAAAGCCCTCCCCTGGCTCTGCCATCACAGCAAGCCCTGGGGGCTAGAGACTCCCTCCTCGCAGGACTCCCCCAAACAGCAGCTCTCACACACAGAGAGGGAAGGAAAGACTAGGTGGCCAGCAGTGTCCTGACAGGCTGGAGAGGAGCCGAGAGTCCTCACACCGCCAGCTACTGTGGGCTGGATGGGAGCTGGGTGGCACAAAACACCGCCCACCCCCAGCCCTCCTGGAACCACGGCTGCTGCCCGCTGGGACTCCTTGCTGAGTCTGCTCTGGTTGGTCTTTTGCAGGCAGCGCAAGCAACGCGCTGTGTGTCGCTGGCTTCACACTTGTCTGGCACACACACACACACGCCACCCTCCCACAGACCTGTGCAGCTTACCTGTCCATTTCCAACACTATTTCACTCTCACACCTGCTCCACGCCACACACACCCAGCAAGTGTTGTTTGAAAGAACGCATTCTTCGAGTTGGCTTTCTACCCACACAGGCTAGGAAAAACAGCAGCACGAAGTCAATGGACACTGGGTGACAATGTGGCCCTAGCAGAGCTTCTACTGACACGGAAGGAGTTCAGCTTGGAGGAAAAACCAAGAACTGCTACGTGAACCTGCTGCCTGGAGCTGCCCGGCCCTGACTCCCATCTGTGCCTCTATTGCGCTAGTGGAGTCGGAGCCGGTTCTTCCTGAAGCAGCCCTCAGATCCTTTGGGGCAGTGAGCGGACAGAGAGGAGGGCATGCTGCGGCTCTGCCTCTGGCACCCGCCTCTCGTGCCAGCGGTCAGCGTGCACACTGCTTGAACTCAGGCCTTGTTTTCCTTGCCCTTGGCCTTTTCCTTCATGGCTGGAGATCTACCACTTGAGCCATACGTCCATTCTGGTTTTTTTTTTAGCCAGTTAATTAGAGATGAGACTCTCTGATTTATCTGTCTGGGCTAGCTTTGAACCTCAATCCTTAGATCTCTGCCTCCTATAGCTAGGATTACAGGCGTGAGCCACCCAGTGCCAGGCTTGAAGTCTTTGGATGTTCATTTTTAGTCTCCTGGATTGGGAAATCACGTATCCAAACTACCTACATGTTTCCTGTCAGCCCTATGTCTGCTTGTCCCCTGATTTCTGCTCTTGATGCTTCTGGTCCCACAAAGCCTTTGGATTCCAGAGCAGCCGGACCACCTCTGCAGCAGAGAGCTCACGTCCGCTCTTCCCGATACCTTGCCAGCAATCCAGCAGCCATCACTCCTGAAGGGCTGCCGGGAGCCAAGCCCCAGGCTGTTACCCCAGTCTACTCCCTCTGCTGCCAATCTTGGGAACTCAGCCGAACATCCTCGAAGCCTTCGGGGGCCTGAGCAAAGCTCTTCTCTCTGGTCTTGTCCCTCTCGCCATCTTTTCTCTTCCCCGGAAACAATTCTGTCTCTCCCAAGGAAGTTTCAAGCTCCGCGCCCTGACCCTCCTTGGATCTGATCTGAGCTCCAGGTGTCGTCTCACGGGGCAGCTCTGTGAAGATCGCCTCCAGCCTTGTAGACGGCATATTTCTATTGAGGCCTCCTGAGATTGCACAGTCTTGTGGGGGGAAGCCATTCTAAGCACCGTCAGTATCTCTGCTGGCCGTATGGGGACGACTTGGGACTGGGGTAGTCTGGGAATAGACATGTGACAGACAGCTCTTTTGCCTTCAGATCCCAAGGTCTCCTCTCCCCCAGGTCACACTTTGGGGGCCTCGGTTTCTTTATCTGTACAGTGGGGAGGTGGGGTCTCTCCTATTTCTAGCACCGCCGTTGGCTTCTCAATGCGAACCCAAAAGTCAGGTGGAGAAGAACAGAGGAGCTCATCGGCTGGATCCAAAAGTCCTTAGGAAGGGCTGGGGCGTGGCTCAGGTGGAAGGGCGCTTTCCTAGCACAGGCCTGCCCTCTGCAGCGCGGCCGTAACTCAGTAGTCACGCCTAGGCAATCAAGACGTCTCCTTCTCCGCTGAGTGTGCTGGCCTTCCAGGCCTGTGCCAGAATCCCTGGCTCTGACGCTGCTCCTCGGCCTCGGGCCAGGCGGCCTCCGTCTGGACAGACTCACGTCTTCTCTCCCTCTTCTACCTCCACCAGTTCTGTCTCCCTGCACATCCCCCGGCCAGCCAAACAACAGCCAAGACGCCTTTGCACTCACTGCACAAAGCGTTCACACACGATGGGCTCTGACCACACACGGCTCTCCTCCACGCTGGCTGCGTCCCTGGCAAAGTTCAGCTCTCACTGTGTTCTCAGTCGCTTTGTCGCCTCTGGTGCGGCGGCCTCAGGAGCCCACGAGCTTCTCCCGGCATGCGAAGCGAGAGAAAGGGAAGCAGGAAGCGCCTTTCACAATGATGGGGCAGGAACTCTGGCTTCCAGGCTCTTCCCACAGCACCTTCTTTTGGAAACAGGTCTGCCACTAGGAAGTGAGAGGTAGCTCGGGCCTTTTTCATTTTTCCCAGTACTCAGGCCTTGCACTTGTGAGGCAGGTGCTCGACTACTTGAGCCATGTGCCCAGTCCCTTAATGTTCTTGCTTTTAGTTGTGTTTTAGTCAGAGTCTGGCTACGCAGTACTATTGTCTTGTAGTACCTGTGTCAGTCTGTTTCCTACCACTGTAGCAAAACACAAGGTCTGTTTTGGCTCCTGGTTCTTCCATCCGTGGCCGCGTGACCTGTGGCATGGCAGCCCACCACGGCGACAGCGTGGCACCCAGGAGAGGAGCAGGCTGGCGCACGGTGCCCCCGCATTCTGAACCACCTCCCCGATCTACGACCTCCTCACAAAGGCCCCCCTCTCCCACACGGCCACGTGCTAGGGATGCAGCCTTTAATACCGGCTCCCTGGCAGGCCCTTCCCGTCCAACCAGATCCGCTCGCTCCAGCATGTGCAATCCCTCGCGTCCACGTGAGAGTCTGGCCCACTTCTGCCTCCACGCCCGACAGCCTGCACTCCGGCCGCGGCCTCGCCTGCGCCCACTCACGCCACGGCCTCCCCCGCGCCCACTCACGCCACGGCTGGCACCGCCTTCCTAACCCGCAGGCTGCTGCCACGACCCCTCCAGCTCCACCTCTACCGCCACGGCCCATGACCCCTCCAGCTCCACCTCCACCGCCGCGGCCCACGAGGCCTCCCAGAGCCCCTGGGGAGCTGCTGCCGCCTGCAGTGGGCTTTGCCCCCGGCCTCGGCTCTTAGCAAATCCTGAGTGGGTGGGTGGACAGATCAACGGACACACAGGGACTCAGGATCTCCTTCTGCAGAGTTCCAGTCCCGTCCTGAGCTGGAAGAGAGCGCAGGAAGCCCGGTGGGCAGCCGGGAAGAGGCGGGGGCGCGGGGGGCACTCACTGACTGCCACAGGGTGAGGGCTGCACCCACACGTCCCCTGGGGGCACACATCCTGGGGCCGGGCTCAGCACCAGAAGGCAGCGGGCGCCACCTACTGAAGGTCTCCCCCAGCCCCCACCCTCTCACACACACAGCCCAGCAACGTGCCCTCCAGGAACCCCCAGAAAGGGGAACTCTTGGAGCTCTCCTGGGGCGCCACGCAGCTGGCCAGGTGCTAACCATCCAAGGGTCACCCACAAAGCAGGAGGTCCAGTTCCCATCCACGACCCCCCCCCCCCCGCACACGGGGCTCCCTGTCTCCCACCGCAGGGGCTCGGTGTCCTGTCTCTATGTGTGTGGGGGGGACCTGGTGGCCCAGAGGAGCGAAGCGTGCCCTCGCCCCGCGGCACAGGAGGCCGCGCTGAGCCAGGGCTACCTTTCACTCCCCACAGGAGCCCCAGCTCTGCCCACCAGTGGTGGCACATTCCAAGGGCCCCGGGGGAGCGGCCAGCCCACGTGCCGAGCCCCAGTGGCTGATAGGGAAGCCAGCCTGGCTCCCCGGGGAGGCCCGGGGCTGCCACGGCCCCCTTTAAGGAGTGTTCTGCCTTCCAGAAGCACTCCAGTCTTAATTTTAGCTTGGAGGCCTGCCATGGGCGGCTTTAACGAGAGGCCGGCCGGCAGAGTTATTCAGGACAGCTGTCCCCAGCATGCTGGGTGGGGCCTGTTTAGCCGGCAGGGCACTAGGCCGGGGGCCCCTGAGCTGGTCTCTCGCTGCCCCAAGTGTCCCCAGCCCCGCCTGGCTTGACCGTGGTCCTGAGGGTCCCCAGCCCCACCATGATGGCCGAAGAGCACCGGGACTTGGAGGCCCAGATCGTCAATGACATTCACTTCAAGGAGATCGACCTGGTGAACCGAGACCCCAAGAATATCAACGAGGACATCGTCAAGGTAGGCCCCCTGTCCCCCGCTCCCAAACCCCCAGCTGGGCAAGCCCACCGGCGGCGGAAAGCCCCAAGCACCTTTGCCACAAACAGCGGCCAACCCGACGCGTCGAGAGTAGAGGCAAAGCACACAGAAAAAAGGGCTTCCTCCAGTGGCAGCCGCCGCTCTTCTGGACTGTGGCCAGGGAGGAAGGGAGCGGTGGCCGAGCCAGGCTCTGCTCCATGCCAGCGCACCGCCGAGCTCCACAGTGGGCTTGGGGGTGATCCCCTCCCCCAGACGGGCCACAGCTCCCCCCAGTGCGGCCTACTGGCTGTGCCTTAGGCTGGTTGTGCCCAGCCCTCACACGGGCCTGGTGGAGGGGCTGGCAGAGGCCCGGCAGAGGGGACCTGGGCCCTCTGGGAGAGGCCCCCATGGCCGACAGTCAGACCACAGGCATAGCTGCCTTTCAGAGCCACACCTTCAAGCCAACTGTCACCCAGGACCGAGCATAGACATGAGGGGCTGTCTAAAGGGCTGCTGGGTCTTCAGGGCCTCCTGAAGACTCAGAATCTCAGAGCAGCTCTGCTCTGGCGAAATTCAGGTGTGGAGGACCCACTGTACCCTCACTGCATGATCTTCTCTTGTCTACTCGGGAGTGTGAGATCAGGAGGATCCCAGTTCCAAGCCAACCCAGGCACAAAGTTCACCAGACTGCATCTCAGCCACTAAAAAGCTGGGCCCAGTGGTGTGTGCCTATGAGCCTCGCTAATCAAGGTTAAACTAGGAGAATAGAAGTCCCAGACAGCCTGGTTTAAGCCACAAAGTGCCTGTCTAGCAAACCGGAGGCCCTGAGTTCAAACTCCTGTAACTGCCAAAAAAGAAAACCTAGCATCTTCCTGTCTCAGTCTTGCCAGTGTTAAGATGGCAGGTGTGTGTGCCACCTACTCAGCAGGACTTTTAATATAGACCAGAACAGAGGGGCTTCTTGTTACTGTCTTAGGTGCTGAGCATAATTGTATGTACTATATTCATTTTTTGCATAGTAGTCACAGGATAATTTACTTCTAAATTAACTAAATTGCTTTTGAATGGGAGATGTCTAGTGCCCGGCTTGCCTTAGGTTTTAAGTTTTAGCAGCCACATTTGAAAAAAAGGACATCAAGTGGTTGCAATTCATTTTCCACACGTTTCTCTGCACCCCCATGTGCACAATAATTTCCCTTCGCTACATCGAATCTGTGCAGAACAGTTGTCACATGAGCTAGTGCGTGGTCCTTCTTTGCCCTCAAAGTCTAGTCTGTCTTGGACTGAGGATCCGTTTCGGTCTGGGCTCTACATTTTTTTCATCAGAAATAGTTCTTCTCTACGGAAAGCTCATAAATATATAGCTGAAAAGGACTCACAGGCCCAAGCTGCCTCCGGGATTCCTAAACGCTTTCCAATAGCAGAATCCGGATCTGTTTTTCCGTGGTAATTAAAATGAAGAAGCGGAAGCTTTGCCGCCAGCCTCACCTCCAGTGCTCACGGCAGCCGAGGGCTGGCCCCAAGGCACGGCCTGGACCCCTGGCCTCAGGTGACTGTTCCCACAGGGGGAATAGCCCAACCTCACTTCCCCTCCCACGTGACCCAGCCCCACCTGCTCCCTCCTCCAGGCTTGCTCCTCCCTGCCCGCCCCTCCCCCCCCCAACACTGCATCCTGGTCAGGAGTGTCATGCCACCCTCGCCCAGCTCAGCCTTCAAGGCCCATTCAATGTCACCTCCTCCAGGAAGGCCCCCCGACTCCTTCAAGAAGGAGGAAGAGGAAACTCCTCCACACCGCCCTTCATGTCGGCGTTCCTCCCAACAGCTCACACGGTGCTACCGTATCCTGACATAAATCCTAGCGGTGAAACCAGGGCATGTCTGACAACACAATGGGGAAACTGAGGCAGCAAAGTTTTCCCACCTGGAGCCCCAAGAAATGCAACATGTTATCAGTCATGGTTTCCACGCAGTGGCCTAACTGGAGGGGCCCTGGACTTGATTTTTAACTGTGCTAGTTTGGGGCTCTTCTGCTGAAAAATGACGGCACTGGGCAGGTCACCTGGGCTTTCTGAGCGGTGGTGCTCCCGTCCCCACCTCCCTGGTAAGAGCAAGGATGCCTTCTCCCCCTGGGTAAGGGACTCTGGACAGCACTGTAAGGAAGATGGGGGCTGGGAGGCTCTGAAATGGGCCAACACGGAAGGGGGGTCGCTGAGCATCCCATGCAGAGGATCAACAGCCTCAGCCATGGCCCCCAGTGAGCCACTAGGGAACAGAGAGGAGGAAATGGGAGAAAGGAACGGACACAAAGTGTGGGATGGACTCCAGGCCCACTGAGCCGGGGGAAGCCAGCTCCGGGACTCAGGTCCTGATTATAATCAAGAAGGGTGGGTGGCGGGGGAGGGAGTAGAGATGTCCAGCTTTATGCAGCCTTCCTGGTGCTCAGAGAGGTGTCCACTCACTCCTGGATGATCCCAAAGGCCAAACAAACAGACCCACAGATCATCTCGACCCACTTGGTCAAACATGGTTCTTTGGTACTGTCTGGATATCCTGTTTGGGGAAGAGAGATTTTTTTCTGCTTTCTTTTGTTCATAGATGGACACAATGCATTTCAATATTATTTATCCTCCCTTCATTTGCTTTTGATGGCTGGACAATGAAACATTACATGAGGCTGAGCCAGGATCATGAGGGCAGAGAAAGGCCGCAGACAGGCCGCGGAGCCCGGGGTTGGGTGTGGGCATGTTAAAGAAGAAAGCTGAGGAAGAAAGGAGGAAGGAGACTTGGACCAGGCCAGGCCCGGGCAGCATGTCTGCAGAGGGGGACCTGCGTGTACCACTGCCAGGGGAAAACACAGGACAGAGGATGGAAGGCTGGGGGGAGGAGGGAAGCAGAGAGACAGGGTGGAGGCTGAGAGGAAGGCTCAGGAGGCCTGCAGTGCTCTGGGTGGCTCCTATCAAGGTGGCCAATCCTGGAATGGGACCCAGCTAGACATCCTGGCTCCAGCCCCTGCCCTGGCACCCTTTTACTCTGGACCTGACTCCCTGGTACAGCGAGGCGCTGGTGGGCAACGGGAGCCATGGTCCCTCAGTCCCAGCTGCTCAGTCCTCACACACTGGGTCCAAGGCAGGAGAGTCCCAGCCACGCAGCACACACACACTGGTCTGCAAGCCCTAGGGCTGGACCGTGGCGGGGGGGGGGGGGGGGCAGGAACCCGGGTGAGCACTCCTCCCTCCCCAACAACGTCACGGAGTGTCTGCTGTGTGCCATGCGCGGTCTCAGCGGGGCTGGCAGCCGCGCACGCACCCCATGCCAGCCTCCGGGATGTGAACATGTGCTCAAGGCCGCGGGGTTCTCTGCAGACCCCGCTGTGGCTGCTCCAGTGCTGACCTCAGCCCCCAAGCCATTCTGAGGGTCCCCCCATCCCTGAAACACACCAACACCTGGACCCTCACGCAGACACGCCTGACCCCCGATGTCACACAGCACCTCTGGCTTCCACACTCAACCCCTCTCCCCTCAGGAGGGCAGGAAGCACAGCGGGATACCAGCCATTCCCACACACAGTCTCCACCCACCTCTCATCACCTCTGCCATCGGCCCATCAGCTCAGGCTGAAAACCACCAGAAGAGTCAGGAATCCCTCCCATCCTACTACCCCCCACTTCCAGTGTAGGAGGATCCAGGACACCCCAAGGTATCGAGATCAAAGTGACTAGATACCTCCAACATGGAAGTTGGGACTGGAGTAAGGAGAAGGTGCTGGATGCCGTGATTCGGTGCCAGAGAAAGTGGCCTGGGTGGTAAAGGGAGGAAGAAGTTACTTGGGGAAAGCCAGAGCCAATTTCCCAGGAAATGGTGTCTAAGGTGCGTTTTTTTGTTTTGTTTTTAAATGAGAAAAAGTTAAAATGTAGGCTAGGAGAAGAGGCTTTCCAAGGAGAAGTGAGATAAGCCATCAATGAAGTAGAGGCTTTCTCCACAATGCTGGAAAGAATGTGGGGGCAGAGTCGCCCCTTCCTGTTCATGATAGACCTTATTAATAGATCACAGAACTTTGCCAGAAGACCGGCTCCAGCAACTGGTCAGGCTTGGAGCTGCAGATGAGGCTTCTTGGCTATTCTGCCCTGGGATGAAGAAACAGAGTGTGCAAAATGGATGGCCCTGCCCACCAGTTCTGATTCAGCCAAGATGGAGAAAGCTTTTGAATGTCATGGGTTTTTTTCAGCAAACAATTTCTCCCCAGCCTAGCGATTCTCTGAAGCACAGTGTGTCAGTAACCAATTACCTTGCAGATGTCACCCCAACCACCTTTAACCATCACTGAATCTCTCACCACTCAGATTTGAGCTGTGGTTCTGATTTCCAGGGGGCATCCAGGTAGCTCTGGTCACATGGTGGCCTGGGGCTGAAATCACCAAGAGCTCCAACGAGTGGGAAGATACAAATCCAAGGCAGCAGCTGTAGGGGGAGCTCCACTGGGAGAATAGGATGGACAAACAGACCTGTATCTCTCGTAGTTTGGGGCCTCTCCCTCCACTGCAGGTATAATGGAAGACTTAATACCACTGGCCTCTAGAGCAGGGTATAAAATTTCTGTGGCATCTTTCTAGGGGGTGACATGACAAACTCACACTCTACCCCACAGAATGAACCCTGAGCAGCATGATTCACTGAGGGTCATCTACAAAAACTCCCCCCCCACACACACACACCCAGAAGCTAGTACCCGGCTTACACCACCACCCAGGGCCTTTCTGTTGCTTCTCATCTCAACTTGCACTAACCTCATGGCCAGCACAGGCTGAGCCTGCAGGAGAAAGAATGGGAAGAGTCCAGTGAGAGGGCCAGGACTAGGGCTCATGGGAGGCTGACTAGGTTCTTCTGGCATATTCCTTTCTGTCTCATGGCCCATATGATCATTTGGACTCTTTCCAAGCTTCTTGACATGAATCCAACTGCCTCTGTGACACCCCCTTGGGACACACTTGGTCCCAAGCTCCAGGCTTGAGTGTGCTCTGAGCCTCTGCCCCTGCTGGGGTGAGCCTGGGCAAGGGCAGGGCAGAGGGGCTTCAGGCTCATGCCTTAATCCATGGCCAACCTGGCCCCCACATGTGGGTGACAGGAAGGAGATGCATGGAGCACTGGCCTGAGCAGGCGACACACAGTGTAGGCGTTTCCATGGTCACCTCGGGCTGCACAGAATTCTCTCATCCATATTATTATTTCTGACAAAAGCAGCAAAGTCTGCCCATTTTGAAGCGGTTTTTTGGTAGGTACTGCCTCATGTTAGCTGCTAATTTTATAGACCAATGCTTTTCAAACTATCTGGGCGAAGGGCCAGTTGTACTATGATTATTCCATTCTGCTGTACAGTGGTATTTTTGTGCAATACAGGAAAAATTAATTTCCAGAGGAGGAAAATAAGAGGCAGGAACACAAATTTTTTTTATCATGATTAGATTCAATAGCCATCAAACTACCACATCAAAGTTCTATGCATATTTCCAAAGGGTGACTCTCCACTTGTACGCCGCTCCCCAGGGTAGAGGGTAGGGTTGGAGAGGTGCTCGCTGCCTGAGACCCTTCACAAGCAGAGGCAGGAGGCCAGGAAAGCCCCAAGCCAGCAGGGCCGAGCCACTCGCTCAAGTCTTGTCTCAATCCTCTCTATGTGGAACTAAACAACAGCATCGCCCAACCAACCAACCAACTCACCCACCTGAAGCCCAGAGAAGGAAAGCGCCATGCCTAAATCACACAGGAACTCAGGGACCTAGTGGAAGCTGGAGCCACAGTGCTATTTCCCCGCATCCAGAGCCCTACGTGAACAGTGGAGGTCCTGGGTGCCCAAGCATTGAGTCACACAAGTCTGGGGGGTGTGGAGTGGTATTTTTGACAGGAATGGCGAATGGCCTCCTCCCACCCCTCCACCCTTGATCCTCAGGCAACTCCCCATCCTACAACTCCCCCACCTTCGCAGGGATTGGGCCAGGGTGGGGGTGACTGGCACTAGTTCACCACTGGCTTTCCTACTGTTCCAAAAATAAACATGGCACAGAAGTGGACATAAGGGAATGAGCAACCATTGTTCTCCACTCTCCCCTCTTCCTGCCCCATCTCTCCTGGTACACAGGAGCCCCGAGGCTCAGCCAGTAGATGCCTCCCCCAGTCCCCGACCCTCCAAGAAAAAGGCCATGTCCTCTCTGTGTCTGTGTGGATGGGAAATAAGAAAGTCACTGTGGCCTGGGCACTGGTGGCTCACGCCTGTAATCCTAGCTGTGGCCAGAGCTCTTGGAGGGCTCACGTCTATGTTGGGGGACCGGCCTCCTCCCAGCATACTGTAACTCTCTGATTCACAGAAAACATTTCAGTTCCCAAGTCACGCTCAAAGGCAATCCCCAGAGACAATGCCGAACTCAGAGCAGAAATGATCAGGAAGACACACCAGAGAGGCGGTCCCGGGGGAGGGGTGATTACTGTAGGATTCCATCCCTCCCACCCGCTCAGACTGAGATCTGTCACACATGCCCTTCTGAGGAGGCTGGCTGGAGAATTACTCGATCGGCAATCTGGGATGTCAGCAGTTCTGAGATAGATGTTCATAGGAACTCAGAGCATTTCCACAAATAATCACCAGCAATGAGCACCTACCAGGTGCTTAGTGCTGCCTGAGAGGTGTGCACCCAAAGCAAAGTAGGTGCTCAATAAATACTTGTTTGCTTGTGTGGATGGGTGGGTGGATGCATGGATGCATGGAAAAAAGGACTTATGGACAGGTAGATGGATGGATAAGTGGACAGATAGATATATGAATGGGTTGAGATTAATGCAGGGGGTTGAGTGAGTAGACAGATGGGTGGATGGGTAGTTGGATGCCTAGAAGAATGGATGGGTAGATAAATGGGCAGATGGAGATGTGATGGGATATAGATGATGGAGGAGGAGATAGAAGGAGATAGAAGGATGAGGAAGAGGTGTGGCGATATGCCAGGCTCACTCACCCACTCAGCAAATGCCCCGAAACACAGACCAGCCTCACACGCTCCTCGTACAAGATCCCCCACTTCCAAGTCATGCCACGGGCTGGGGACTAGGCCTGAACACACACACACACACATACACACACGCACACACACACACACACACACACACACACACACATACGTCTTGGGATTGCTTAAGATCCTAATTATAGCAAAGGCATTTCTCTGCTTGCTGACCGCAGCACGGCTCGGCAGCATCCCATTGAGCAAGACCTCCTGGGCACCGCAGTCACCGAGCCTGATGTCCATTCACACTTTCCAAGTGCCTGGTGGACTGGTCAGCCTCTGACCTTCCACCCCGGGTCATGGTCGTCATCTCCATGATGATGCTTAGTGCAAACCTGGGCCCCACAAAGACCGGGCAAGGAGCCCAAAGTAACTCTCCTTTTTTGTCATTGTTAAGTCTCCTGATGATTTTTTTTCCTTTACTTGCCACCTGGGACCCAAGTCCTCTCCTCTGTGGGGTAGTGAGGGACGAGATGGCTGCAGGACTGGAAAACAGCAGCATGGCCTCCTCCCCAGGCTCTGCACACTGGCCAAGCCACCACCGCATGGGGCATCTTTGTAACCGCGTGGTTCACCTTCTTTAGGGAAGGGCCTCGTCGGTCACAGGCCACAGCTCCCACAGCAGTGCCCCCCAACTCACCGCACCCCCTCTGAACCAGTGCCGCATGTCCTTGCTGGCCCTCACACCCGTCCTAACTCCCGGCCCTCCCCCTGTGAGTTGCCGGCCTCTCTCTCCAGCCCGCACTGGCTCTCTTGCATTCACCTGGGCCGTCTGCACCGCCGCAGCTCTGCGGAAGCCACACTGCCGTGGCCACCAGCTGCGAGCCATTGCTGCTCCTTCAGCTGCGACTGGTCATTTCCAGTCCACCACCCGCGTGTCCCCGTTTACCTTCAAATCCCAGCGTAAGCTACACGTCTCCTCCTGCAGGAAGTTCCTTTCACTGCCCCGTGAAGCCCCAGTCCCTCAGCATCCCAAAATAAGAGCGTTCGGGCGCCCGTCAGTGGGCTTCTTTTCACTATAACAAATGCCTGAGGCGAGCGGCTCACGTAAAGGTCATTGTGGTTCACAGCTGTGCAGGTGCCCGTCTGTGATCCCTTGGATACTTTGGGTCCTGTTGGCAGTCAGTCCATCTGTCCGTCATGGTGGGAGCATGGAGGGGAGTGAACTGATCTCGGCAGAGGCAGGGAGTGAAGAGCGGAGAGGCCCAGGCCCCACAATTCCCGTCCGGGACACATCCCTGGGGGTCTGGCTCCATCCTTTAAGGTCCCACCACCTCCTGGTAACATCACCGTGGAGAGCAAGCCTGTAACACGCGGGCGGGTGAGGGACACTGCAGATCCCAGTGACAGCAGGAACCATGGCTGTGACGCTGGCTCTGGGCAGACTTTCAGCCAGTCTCACACATCAACCCATTGAATGTGAGCGTTGGAGTAACTTCTTCGCGGTGTCTGTAAAATGAGTCTGAGTCCCTACTCACACCCACTGAGCCAGCATCTTCCAGAGATGGGATCCAGCCTTCCAGGTCTCACAAGCCCCCGGAAGGGGTTCGGCTGTACACACACGAAAGCTGGGGTGGTGCGTGGATGTTATGAGTTGAAGACTCCCCTTCCTCCCTCTGCAGGTAGACTTCGAAGACGTGATCGCAGAACCAGTGGGCACCTACAGCTTCGACGGCGTGTGGAAGGTGAGCTACACCACCTTCACCGTCTCCAAGTACTGGTGCTACCGCCTGCTGTCTACGCTGCTGGGCGTGCCGCTGGCCCTGCTCTGGGGCTTCCTGTTCGCCTGCATTTCCTTCTGCCACATCTGGGCGGTGGTGCCATGCATTAAGAGCTACCTGATCGAGATCCAGTGCATCAGCCACATCTACTCCCTGTGCATCCGCACTTTCTGCAACCCTCTCTTCGCTGCCATGGGCCAGGTCTGCAGCAGCATCAAGATGGTCCTGAGGAAAGAGACCTAAAGGCAGGTGGGGCCGTGGTACTGGCAGGGCAGGGAGGAATCGGGCCAGGCTGGTCCCCTGGTACCGCTCCACAAGGCCTCTGGAGAGTTCCTCCCCTCAGACGGGAGCACACAGTGTAGGGAAAGAAAAGACAGTCCAGCCCACAAGTACAGAGGCCGCCACTCATCCCAGCCCCACTGCTATGTCCCCGAGACCCGGCCTGAGGGAAGGGGGTGTGCTAAGAGGCAGCTACTGCAAGTCTTTGCGTCCATGTGTACTGTAACAGCACAACCAGCATCAGTTCCCTGGGGTCAACCTGTCCACACACGCCCAACAGCAACAGCAAAAAGTGACTGTGGGGTGGGGTGGGGGGCGGTTACCTCCAATAAAGGGTTTCAGCTGCATTTGGGGGTGTTGTGTTTCCTCCCCCGCCCCCTCTCTTTCATGCTGGTCCTGGGGCTTAAACTTAGGCCAGAGCACCATCCCTGAGCTTTTATCTGCTCAAGGCGAACGCTGTATGCTTTGAGCTACACATCCATTTACCGCTTTTCGGTGGCTAATTGGAGATAAGAGTCTCACGAACTTTCCTGCCCAGGCTGGCTTTGAACCGTGAAGCTCAGATCTCCTTGAGTAGCTAGAATTATAGGTGTGAGCTACCAGTGGCTGGCTATGTTTTCTTTATATCCACAAAGTCGGTATAATCCTGACCAGCTCCAAAAAAGTGTCCTTCACGGCCTCGACAAACACACTTGGGGAAAAGTGGGTTTGTCTTCAGCTGGGCCAAATTAAAAATAAAAAAAACAACAACAACGCAAGTGTGTTTTATTCTTAGGAGTCAGCTTATTGGCTGAGCACCTGTTTCAAATTATTCCAAATAACTTCTACTGCCACTGAGCCAGCTAATGAACACCAATGGAAGAAAATGCCCTTGGCTAGGGGCGCAGGTTCATTCTCTGGGCACCGGTGAGGACAGGGCCGGGCCTCGGCCTGGCTGAACCTCCCTTTGTTTTGCAGGACAGTAGCCTCTGGCCTGGCCGGCCTGGCCCCTTGGCCTATGTGCAACTTCTGCCCTGGAAGTGAAAGCAAGAGAATATACACATATCCCATCTCTCCCTCAAAAGCAAGCACACACCAAACACACCAATGCAATCTTACAGTTGCCTTTCCCAAGTGCCCTGTCAGAACTTTAGTCCTAAAAAGAAAACCTTTAAAGAGAGCAGTGGGGAGAGGTTGGCATTGTGAACAATGTTGTTTAAAAAGCGCTGCTACATTTCTCTTGGAGACTCTCAATAGACACTATGTGTTTGAAGGTTCTGACAAGATCTGTGATAAGAACAACCTGTTGAAGCCACAATGTTGCCCACAGGTCTATCTGACCCTTTCCTGTTTCTTTTTTTCTTAAGCAACACCCACGTAAGTGTCATGAAAGATTCCCTCAGAACTTACAGGTTTTGGGAGACTGGTACCAGCCACAAGCCCGAGGTCTTGGGGGCCGTGTGTGGAGTGGAGCGCACTGGTGTGTGTGGAGTGGAGCGCACTGGTGTGTGTGGAGTGGAGCGCACCGGCGTGTGTGGAGTGGAGCGCACTGGAGTGGAGTGCACCGGCGTGTGTGGAGTGGGGCGCGCCGGCGTGTGTGGAGTGGGGCGCGCCGGCGTGTGTGGAGTGGGGCGCACCGGCATGTGTGGAGTGGAGCACTGGCGTGTGTGGAGTGGAGTGCACCGGCGTGTGTGGAGTGGAGCGCACCGGGCGTGTGTGGAGTGGAGCGCACTGGTGTGTGTGGAGTGGAGCGCGACGGCGTGTGGAGTGGAGCGCACTGGAGTGGAGCACCGGCATGTGTGGAGTGGAGCGCGCCGGCGTGTGTGGAGTGGAGCACCGGCGTGTGTGGAGTGGAGCGCACCGGCGTGTGTGGAGTGGAGCGCACTGGAGTGGAGCGCACCGGGCGTGTGTGGAGTGGGGTGCACTGGTGTGTGTGGAGTGGAGCACCGGCATGTGTGGAGTGGAGCGCACTGGAGTGGAGCGCACCGGCGAGTGTGGAGTGGAGCACCAGCGTGTGTGGAGTGGAGCGCACCGGCGAGTGTGGAGTGGAGCACCAGCGTGTGTGGAGTGGAGCGCACCGGCGTGTGTGGAGTGGAGCACCGGCGTGTGGAGTGGAGCGCACTGGCGTGTGTGGAGTGGAGCACTGGCGTGTGTGGAGTGGAGCACCGGCGTGTGTGGAGTGGAGCGCACTGGCGTGTGTGGAGTGGGGCGTGCCGGCGTGTGTGGGGTGGGGCGCGCCGGCGTGTGTGGAGTGGAGCACCGGCGTGTGTGGAGTGGAGCACCGGCGTGTGTGGAGTGGGGCGCGCCGGCGTGTGTGGAGTGGGGCGCGCCGGCGTGTGTGGAGTGGGGCGCCGGCGTGTGTGGAGTGGGGCGCGCCGGCGTGTGTGGAGTGGAGCGCACTGGAGTGGAGCGCACCGGAGTGGAGCGCACCGGGCGTGTGTGGAGTGGGGCGCACTGGAGTGGAGTGCACCGGCGTGTGTGGAGTGGAGCGCATCGGGCGTGTGTGGAGTGGGGCGCACTGGTGTGTGTGGAGTGGAGCGTACCGGCGTGTGTGGAGTGGAGCGCACTGGAGTGGAGTGCACCGGCGTGTGTGGAGTGGGGCGCGCCGGCGTGTGTGGAGTGGAGCACCGGCGTGTGTGGAGTGGGGCGCCGGCGTGTGTGGAGTGGAGCGCACCGGGCGTGTGTGGAGTGGAGCACCGGCGTGTGTGGAGTGGAGCACACCGGGCGTGTGTGGAGTGGAGCGCACCGGGCGTGTGTGGAGTGGAGCGCACCGGGCGTGTGTGGAGTGGAGCACCGGCATGTGTGGAGTGGGGCGCACCGGGCGTGTGTGGAGTGGAGCGCGCCGGCGTGTGTGGAGTGGAGAGCACCGGCGTGTGTGGAGTGGAGCGCACCGGCGTGTGTGGAGTGGGGCGCCGGCGTGTGTGGAGTGGAGCGCACCGGGCGTGTGTGGAGTGGGGCACCGGCGTGTGTGGAGTGGGGCGTGCCGGCGTGTGTGGAGTGGGGAGCGCCGGCCGTGTGTGGAGTGGAGCACCAGCGTGTGTGGAGTGGAGCACCGGCGTGTGTGGAGTGGGGCGCGCCGGCGTGTGTGGAGTGGGGCGCGCCGGCGTGTGTGGAGTGGGGCGCCGGCGTGTGTGGAGTGGAGCGCACTGGCGTGTGTGGAGTGGGGCGCACCGGGCGTGTGTGGAGTGGGGCGCCGGCGTGTGTGGAGTGGAGCGCACTGGCGTGTGTGGAGTGGGGCGCACCGGGCGTGTGTGGAGTGGAGCACCGGCCGTGTGTGGAGTGGGGCGCACCGGGCGTGTGTGGAGTGGGGCGCCGGCGTGTGTGGAGTGGGGCACCGGGCGTGTGTGGAGTGGAGCGCACTGGCGTGTGTGGAGTGGGGCACCGGGCGTGTGTGGAGTGGAGCGCACCGGGCGTGTGTGGAGTGGGGCGCCGGCGTGTGTGGAGTGGGGCACCGGGCGTGTGTGGAGTGGAGCGCACTGGCGTGTGTGGAGTGGGGCGCCGGCGTGTGTGGAGTGGAGCGCACCGGGCGTGTGTGGAGTGGGGCGCCGGCGTGTGTGGAGTGGGGCGCCGGCGTGTGTGGAGTGGGGCGCCGGCGTGTGTGGAGTGGGGCGCCGGCGTGTGTGGAGTGGAGCGCACCGGCGTGTGTGGAGTGGGGCGCCGGCGTGTGTGGAGTGGGGCGCCGGCGTGTGTGGAGTGGAGCGCACCGGCGTGTGTGGAGTGGGGCGCCGGCGTGTGTGGAGTGGGGCGCCGGCGTGTGTGGAGTGGAGCGCGCCCGGGTGTGTGGAGTGGGGCGCCGGCGTGTGTGGAGTGGAGCGCGCCCGGGTGTGTGGAGTGGGGCCTCGGCGTGTGTGGAGTGGAGCGCGCCGGCGTGTGTGGAGTGGAGCACCGGCGTGTGGAGTGGGGCGCGCCCGGGTGTGTGGAGTGGGGCGCCGGCGTGTGTGGAGTGGAGCGTGCCCGGGTGTGTGGAGTGGGGCGCCGGCGTGTGTGGAGTGGAGCGTGCCCGGGTGTGTGGAGTGGAGCGCGCCCGGGTGTGTGGAGTGGGGCGCCGGCGTGTGTGGAGTGGGGCGCCGGCGTGTGTGGAGTGGAGCGTGCCCGGGTGTGTGGAGTGGAGCGTGCCCGGGTGTGTGGAGTGGGGCGCGCCGGCGTGTGTGGAGTGGGGCGCCCGGGTGTGTGGAGTGGAGCACCGGCGTGTGTGGAGTGGGGCGCCGGCGTGTGTGGAGTGGGGCGCGCCGGCGTGTGTGGAGTGGGGCGCCCGGGTGTGTGGAGTGGAGCACCGGCGTGTGTGGAGTGGGGCGCCGGCGTGTGTGGAGTGGAGCGCGCCCGGGTGTGTGGAGTGGAGCGCCGGCGTGTGTGGAGTGGGGCGCCGGCGTGTGTGGAGTGGGGCGCCGGCGTGTGTGGAGTGGGGCACCGGCGTGTGTGGAGTGGGGCGCCGGCGTGTGGAGTGGAGCACCGGCGTGTGTGGAGTGGAGCGCGCCGGCGTGTGTGGAGTGGGGCGCCGGCGTGTGGAGTGGGGCGCGCCGGCGTGGGGAGTGGGGCGCTTGCGTCCGGAGGCAGGGCGCGGTGGCCCAGCTCCAGTCCCGCCCCTGTTGCCTTCTCACAACGTGAGCGATCACAAATGATCTCTACGGTTGGTCTGACATCTGAAGTGTGGCCCTTGATTTTTGTTTTCTCTCCCTTTTTATGGGATTTTCAAGCACAGAAAAAGGTGAGTGTGCTGTGTACATGTGTCATCCACTGTCTTGGAGCTGCAATGAACACTTTATCCCCTTGGCTTTGTCACATGTCCATCTGTCTATGCATCTGTCCATCCACAGTCCCATCTCCAAATTATCTCCAGAGTCAGGCCTTGGCACAGGATGGGCCAAGGACCTCACACAGAAAATATTTTTCCCAGAGGCCAAGAGCATCCTCCAACAAAGAGCACCTCTCAGGAAAGAGGCCAGGTCCTCCTCTGCCTGCCTCACCCCTGCACTGTCCCCAGCAAATGGCACTGCCAGGACATGCAGCTTACAATTCACCAACTATGGTTTGGGGGGGGGGGGGAGAAACGGCAAAGCAGTATGTGGGGAAAATAGTTTATTAAGTGCACCTTGTATAAGCAGACATCTCAGGACTGGCCACCACGCTCCCCGCTCGGCACAGGATACAGAGACACAGCAGGGAGTGACCAGAGTGGAACCAAATCAGAGAATTGACAGTATATGTTGATTGGCACTCCATTCACTTGAATACAAGACAGGGGGAACACTGAACCCAGACAGCCTGCACTCCCATCCCTTTCTTGCCTGAATTGGCGATGCAAAGACACAACCCCAGAGAAGCGCCACGGCCGGGTTGCCTTTTCAGGGCCCAAAGAAAGAAGGCTCCTCACTACATCCGCTTTTGCTGTTCGGCGCCATGATGGTCACTCACTGGCAGCTCCAGCCTAGCTGCGGTCCCTGTGCGCGGGGCGTGGTCCCCAGGTGTGGTCTCTGCACACCCCAAGGTGTGGTCCTTGGACGTGTGGCACCCGCATGTGGTATGTGAAAATTGGGAAAGCAGGAAAGGCGGTGTGGGGCTCGGGCTCGGGGTCTGGCTGAGCCTCTGGGAGCTCTGCACGCAGCCTTCCAGGGAGATCGTGTCAGGGATGAGATGGGGGGGAGGGCGCAGATCTGCGGCTGCTGGAATGCAACGCATTTATTTGTCATAAAACCCCCTTAGGACACTGCTGTGTCCTAAGGAGACCCATGGTCCTGGCCAGGGCTTTCGCATGCACGTGTGCGTGAAGACAGCACCCCAGCAGGTGCTGAGGCCCAGCATCCCCACAACTCCAGGGCTCCCGGGGAGACGGCGGCTCTGGTGAGAACTACTGGGCGCAGTGGTGGAGTCCATTGGCATCTGTGCCTCGAGGATGCCCACCAGTGCAGCGTGTGCACGCTGGGTACCCTGAGGTCCAGGACAGGCATCCAGCTGGCTTCCCAAGAGCAGGAAGCGGCTGCTGGTGACACTCAGTCCAAAGGGGACACTGCCTTGTCTCCAGCTGGTGCTGCAGAGCTTGTGCACGAATACTGCATGTACGTCTCTCTTCTCCAGAGCATCTAGACCCTAGCGTGTGCCTGCATGTGTGTGCATGTGTGTTTCAGCACTGTGGAAGAAACAGAAGTGTGTTGTGCAGAGAGAAATAGGAAACTACAGCTTCTATGAAGAGCTCTTTCTGAATCTCAGTAAGCCCGATAATGGGTCTGGATATTAAAAGACACCCCAGAGTGCACTAAGCTGATCAGTCCTAGACAGAAAACCTTTCATCGCTCCAGACCTGTATTTAACAACTGAAGGTATTTATGTCTTAGATCTGGGCCCAGGCCACCCTCTCCAGGCTGAGGGGTCATCGGAGAACATGTTTATCAGAGAAGCAAAACCTTCACAATGGCTATCCTGCACGAAACGGGAAAATCTGCAGGGGCAAGACATCCCCGGGGCCTTTATTAGACCAGGTGGGATGTCTGGATGGCTGTTGCTGTTGGCCAAAACTGGAAAGTCTCTCTTGCGAGTCACCTGAGGAACAAGAGCTCAGGGAGGTGAGTCCAAGGAATGCGTCCAGCAATGATGGCTTTCTCTGAATTCAGCTGGTAAGCATTTCTTTCTTTTGTACCATTAAGGGTACAGTTCAGCGGTCTTTAATGCTCTCAAAATCATACACCACCACCTCAGATTCCAGAACATTTTCCTCATCCCCAAACAGCCCCCGTGGGAGCAGGCCCTTCCCAGTTCTCCTTATAGCTCCTTCCCCCACAACTGGGATCCATATTCTATGTGTAGATTGCTGCTCATTCCACCATTTCATTCGCATGGGATCTTTGTGTGGTTTTTGACAAACGGCTTCTTTAGCTTAGCACAGCGTTTCCAAAGTTCATGCACGTTACAGACTGAAGCGATAATTCATTTATTTTTATGGCTGACTAATGTTCCGTTGTAGAAATATCCTATGTCCTAGTTAGCTCCTCATCACTTGGTAAACGTGGGTATTTCCATAGTGAAGCTATAATAAGAAGAGGTGGAATGAGGGCAAGCATACATGTTTGGGGGAACATGTACATCTTCATCTCTCTTGGGGAAATAGCTAAGATTGGATCATTTCCGAGTCCTGTTGTGTATTCTGTGTAACTATTGTGAGAAGCAGCCTTGCTGGTTCCCACAGCTGCTGTTATTATTTACCATCAATGTCCCGTTTCTCCGCCTCTTTGCCACACTATTATTGTCCGTCCTTTTGGGTATAGCCATTCTAGTGGGTAAGTGGGGTGGACCCTGGCTGTTGTTTTCCCTATATTCTCCTAATAATGACCAGCATTGTTTCCTGTGTTCAGTGGCCATTTGTAGATCTTCTTTGGAAAAAAATCTCTGGCTTTTGCTGAGTACTTTACTGGAGATAAGAGTCCCGTGGAATTTCCTGTCTGAGCTGGCTTAGAACCATGATCCTTAGATCTTGGCCTCCTGAGTAGCTAGGATTACAGGTGTGAACCACCAGCATCCAGCTCAACTTTGTACCTCTTTTCCAGGAAAGGGGGGGGAGGGCATTCTGTGTTCCTTCCATTCATTTATGAATTTAGAACTAGCTCAATTTCAGAAAAGAGCCTTCTAGGATTCTGATCAGGACTGCATGGCATCTGTTCAGTTTGGAACTGAACACAGTTCACAACACAGTCTCTCATCTGCAAATACAGAACGCTTCTGCACTCAGCTAAATCTCCCTTCCTTTCTCTCAGAGGCATTTCACAGCTTCTAGGGCTTAAGCCTGATATTTTTTGTCATCAAATTTATTCCTATATTAAAACAGTATCTTTAAATTCCCACGTTAAAGTAGTATTTTTTGTTACTATTATAAATGGAATGTCTCTTAATTTCATTTTTCTATTGTTCATCAGTAGACTAGAGAAATGCAGTTGATTTGTCTATATCAATCTTGTGATCTCGCTAAACTCATTAGTTCCAAAAGGAATGTTCGTGTGCACATGTGTCTGCATGTCTTAGGATTTTGTATGTACAAAATAGTGTCATCAACAAAGAATTTCTTTCTTTTGTCTTCCTTTAGGATCTTTTATCTTTTTCTTTCCCAAGCGTTCACTACAGATTATCTTCTTAAAATAGCTGCAACTCGGGTTCTCATTGGCTCTCTGTGTCAGATGATCTGACAGGGAAACCCACTGCTTATAAGGCTTCCTCTTACAAGCTGGTCCCTCAGGATGCTACGACTGGACCACTCAAGGGCAGAAAGCACTCTGGGGGTCAGGAAGAATTTAGCACCAACCTCTCATCTAAGATCCTATCCCCACCGACTATCCCAAGCCCAGAACACTGGATTTCCTGACCCACCCTAAACTTACTACCTTTGGCAAGAGCTCAGAACAAATGAGCAAAAAGATATTGGAGTGAAAATACTGTGTGTGTGTGTGTGTGTGTGTGTGTCTGTGTCTGTGTACACGTGTGCGCACATGCGTGCAGGGGCAGGAGGGGGGATGGGGAGGAGAACACACACGGGAGCCCAGAAGAGGTCACCACAACCTCTCATCCACCAACAAGACCACCTCCCCACCACGCACCAGAACCCGCCCAGCACTCAAGCCATGGAAAAGACAAGCCGAAGGCCCCTTATCCACCTACGTGCACAGCCTCCAAAGGGCAGCCTGCCGTCGGCTGGCCCTGGCCTTGGGAGGCGCCCAGGCCTGGCCGTGGGTCACACTGTGGAGGGCTGGGAGCAGCTCCTCTGGCTGGAGCTGCGGCGGCTCAGGACGAAGGTGGACGAGTTGCTCTTCTTGCTGACGCTGGTCTCGCTGGGCCGGCTGCCCTTCAGGTGGCTGGAGGAGCAGCAGAGGAAGCGCTGCACGAGTTCGTGGAAGAGGTGGCCCGTGAAGAGCATGTAGATCCAGGGGTTGCAGCAGCTGTTGAGGCTGGCCAGCAGCATGGCAATGATGAAGGCCGAGGCTGTGAGATGGAGGACAAGAGAGGAGGCTGTCAAAGTCCAGCACCAGGCTCTGAGTTCAAATCCCAGTACTGCCCCCCAAAATGTTTCTTTTCCACCGAGAAATATCACGCAGAAAATCATCTGAATCCTAGGTCATTTCAAGTGGAGGAAAACATTTTCAAGTCTCAGTTTCCTTCAGTGGCCGTAAGCCTGGTAAACTGTAGACATCTCCTGCCAACAGATGAGGTGAGAGGACCCCCAGAAACCCCCAAAAACAACAGAAGTCAGAATCCCTGCCCCGCGGGGCCATGCGTCCAGCAAGAGAGCTGGAAATCCACCGCTCTCGTTTCTCCTGCAAATTTTGGCAGAAAGAACCCAGAATTTAAGAGCTCAAGCCAGAGAAGCCATCTTCCCTGGGCTGCTGGCACTGCAGGAGGTGGACACAAATGCCAACAGAAGACCAGGAGAGTGTGTCGGGCACCCACAGGCACGAAAGCCAGGGGCACATAGGCAGCCGTCCATCGGAGGCCCTAACGTGGGTTCCCAGAGCCAGAGGTAACTGAGAACTTTCTGATAATATAGGTTCTCAGGCCCATGGCTGGAACTACCTAGTAAGACCAGGAAGCTGGGGCTTGGGCGTGTGTCGTCACGAGTTCTGATGCACACCCAGGTCTGAGAACCACTGGTCTTGTTAACCGGTGGCGTCTGGTGGGACAAAAGCAAAGGACATCAGACAGTATTACAAAAGAGACCTTTCAGAAAGCAAAGGAGTGGCTCTCATCCTGGAAAGTGACGTGATCACGAATGGAAGCGCAGTGGTGAAAGCAGGCAAGCCAGTGCTACCCAACTCCTTCCATTCTCTACAAGAGAATAGTAAATCTACACATGTAAATATACATATATGCGCATATATATATATATATATTTGTGTGGGTGAGGAGATGAATTCAAGTTTTAAATTAAAAATCACCTGCCAGACTAAAAATATAGAAGATGTTCAAAACTCACACAAGAGGTTAAAAAAAATAAAAATAATGTACACGACACTAAGAAACAAACGATCAGCCACAAAGTGAAGAACGAGGGCGAATGAGGCTCTGAAATGCGACAGAAGGAAATGTCACACCTGGGCCTAGTGTTACATACTCATAAGATGAAAAGCCCCAATTCCAAATGCTCCCAAGTCTGCGCGGTTTGCGGTGCGGACATGATGCCACGCCTCTCCCGTGTCAGCACAGCCGAAGCGCAGCCGCAGGGAACACATCGTCCAGCACACCCTTAAGTAGCATACATCAGCAAACGAACCAGAAATGAATCTCATGGCACTTCATTATGTACTTGCAAATATTCTAAAACCCTAACAGCGATTTGCCTTTTTGCATTCAAAAAAAATCTTCTGGCTTTTTTTTAAATAAATCTGTTTTTAAAGAGAAAAAAAAACATTATAGGGCAAAAACACAAGTATATAATGAGTTGCTAAGAAACCAGGTAGCCTGGCTACCTGTGAGTGGCCAGCTTGAGGGACAGGCAAGGACCAGGGCTGGGTCTCTGCCCCCTCCTGGTAGCCACAGATGCAGTGGCTGACCTACCTGGCTTGGTTCTTTGGGGTTATGAAAAACCCTCTCTAAGCCAAACCTGCTCTTGTCCAGCGGACAGCACTAAGGACTCATTTGAAATGCCTTTAATTTCATGATGCCCTAATCATCCAAAGATAGGAGTTCACAAGGATGAGACTTCCAGCCTCCACGGGCAGCTGAGAGCGGAGCCGGGCAGAGCCAACCACATGGGTAGGCCCTGGAAAGCGCCCCAAAGGGAGGAAGCAGCGGGAATGCAGGCCCAGGGGTGAGCACAGGTCAGGACACTCAGCAACTGCTTGGGGCAAGGATGGGAAGAAGCCAGAAAGAAGGATGGAGCGGATGCCCCATAGGTTAAGCGGAGCTGTGGATAGCTTCCGAGCAGGCGATGATGGATTCACTTCAGCCTGCCTTCTGCACTTCTGAGCCAAGTTTAGGCTACAGGCTTGCCCTCTCTGATGTCTAGAAAGGCTTTGCTTGACTACCAAGGAACCAGAACTGAACAAAGCCGGGGAAACATTGCCCTTCCATTTCATGGTGTCATTTCCAAGGAAGCAGGAGACAAGTCTGGTTATCAGCATCTCTGCATAGGTCCACCCAGAACAGTAGTTCCTGAAGCGGCCCTGACTCCATTTTCTAGATGAAGGAACAAAGTTCAGACCAGGTGACAGACTTCCTTGAGAGCTCACAGCAAGTTACCCTGTGTTCGGTAATGGGGTCTGGTTCGTTATAACTCGGCTGGCATTCTCACATGCCACATTGGTTCCAACTAGTAAAATCTTACCAGTCCCAAAGCAAAGACTTGGGCTGACTGAGCAATCACACTCCCGGTGTGCTCTGAGGAGCAGAGAGAACAACTCTCTTGTTTCTGGAACAAATGGGGCTCCCTGCTGGGCTAAGTGCTGGCTGATCAGCCCACTACCCAGCAGCAATCTTTCAAGAGCCCCACCGTGTCTGGGAGAGGAAGCAGGACCTCCTGACTGTCTGTCCATCTGTCTGTCCATCCATCTATCCGTCTGTCCATCCAATCATCATCCACCCTTGCCTCCGACAAGTTGTCAGTAGATTACAAGCCTGCTATTTTTATAAATTTTATCAAAACCTTGTCCTGGCCATTCACCTGAGAGCTCCCTACGGCAGAGCTGAATAGGTGTGAGCAAGACTTTATGCCCTACAAGCTATCGGGCCCTGGACTGAAAAGGCCAGGCAATCTTTGGTTAAGGGGTAGGAAGGTGTGCAGAGCACATGGCAAGCTCAGACCCCTTCCCCCCACACTGCCACACACCAGAACCCTATGCTGCCTCTCCTTCCTAACCAGCCATACTCAGGCATCAACCCTAGCTCCACCCCTGGTGAGCTGTGTATTCTATGGGAAATCATCTAACCTCTCCTCTTCTCAGGTCCTCCAGCTGTACGGGTCCCATCACAGGACTGTTGCAGGACAAGTTTGAGATATCCAAGCACTATCCAGGATTTAAGGCCCCGGTAACAGCAGACCATGCAGCTCAGCTACTGTCCTGACCAGGGCGATGGGAGCAAGTGCTCGTGGAAGGTTGCAGCTAGGGTGACAAGGAAGATTCCTGAGACTGTCCCTTTTGAGGAAGGGGTGAGTTGAAGGGGCAAAAATGTTGCAGGGATGACACAGATCAAGATGCATATAGTACACACGAACTATGTTTGTTAAATGGCAGACTAAATTCAGTACATATCCTACAAATTAGGGAAAATGAGGAGGAAAGGGGTATGTGGGGATTGATCAAGATGTAATGTAGTCATAAACCACTTTGTTGAATGGCAACTGCTTTAAAGATAATAAAAAAAATAGGGCTGGGAAGCTGGCTCAGTGGTAGAGTGCTTGCCTCATATGCATGAGGCCCTGGGTTTGATTCCCCAGCACCACATATGCAGAAAAAACCAGAAGTGGTGTTGTGGCTCAAGTGGTAGAGCACTAGCCTTGAGATGATGGGCTGAGGGACAGCGCCCAGGCCCACAGTTCAAGCCCCACGACCAAAATAATAATAATAATAATATTTTTTATAAAGGAAAAGAAACCTGAAGGGAGGCTGCGGCTATCATGGGCCATGTTCAGACATCAGGGTTTTTGTGGAAGAGCTGGTTATAAAATCACATCTCCTCCTCACCTGCCATAAAGTTCATGCCTTCCCCGGGGACCAGGATGCCAGCCAGAAATCACCAGTCGGTCCTTCTGGGAGACATGGCAACTGAGAGGCTGCCCTGGGGCGGCTTGGCTTGTGCCTAGGGCATTTTGTGGGGGAGGACAAAATCTATGCCAGCCAGGCACTGGCTCCCACAGGGAACCAAAGTGGAATTATTGAGTCCTTGCCCTCAAGAGACTCACAAACTGGAGGGGGGGAGGGTAAAAGTCCAGAACAGCATTAGACGGGGGGCAGGGAGGGGAGGCCAAGCACTTGTTGCAGTAGCTGAGAACCAGGGGAACGTCACGTGAACAACTATCTGCCAAGCAGGACCGTGAGCTGAAGTGGCCACGCATTAGAGGCCGGTGTCACCTGCTGGGTGATTCTTCCTGGGAGAGGAGAATCCGCTGCGTATTTCTGTGCAGCTCCATGATTCATGGAGGGCTCAAGGCCCTGGGGCCGCCGGAGGACGGTATGCGCTGGGCATTCCACCCCCGCTGGCTTGGCTTTACTCACTCCTCAAGAACTCCCACGTTCGGACTTCCCGGCACTCAGGGAGAACTGAGAGCCCAAATTAGCCTAGAACAGCTGACGGGCAGCTAGCCACAGCCTCTCCTGGCTGTGCTGTTTCTGAGACAACTAACATGTTTCACGCACAACTCAGATGCACGGAGCAACTCGTCCATCTCAGAAAAGTCAGGTCCAGCCCATCCTGTGAGGCCTGCAAAAGACCCTCAGACAAGACAAGGCACGCCCAGCAAGACCTACTCCAGGGCTAGGAGGAATCTGGGTGGAAGGCCTTTTTTGGATCTGGGTCCTTAGCAGGCGGTCTAGGGGAAGGCTTTAAAAAAGTAATGTATGCTTGAATAAAAATGGAGGCCCATGCCGGGCGCCAGTGGCTCACGCCTGTAATCCTAGCGACTGAAGAGGCTGAGATCTGAGGATCGCGGTTCAAAGTCAGCCTGGGCAGGAAAGTCTGTGAGACTCTTATCTCCAATAAACCACTCAGAAAACCGGAAGTGGTGCTGTGGCTCAAGTGGTAGAGCACTGGCCTTGAGCTGAAGAGCTGAGGGACAGCGCCCAAGCCCAGAGTTCAAGCCCCAGGACAAAAAAAAAAAAAAGAATGGAGGCCCAGGATATATGATAAGATATTATCTTTGGAAAGACCATAACTTTGTAACTACAGTTTTTCTAAAACTCACTGATGTGTGATCTGCCCCCCTATGGCAGGGTTGGGATGAAGAGTCAGATGTATGAGCTACAGATTCTGCCCCTGGTCAAATCCAAATG